ACACTAGTAACTTGGACGAGTCACTTTATATCAAATATGAGTAAACATAGTGTATGCTAGTCTATCCGATTACATAGTGCCCACATAATAATCCTGTGACTAGGAACATTAAAGAATTAAGTACTAAGAAATATATGTCTCCTTTTCTCAAGTCTTTGAGAACCTATCTTCTTAAGTTATACTCTATGAACTATATCATGTATATTAAAATAAAATAAAATAAAGAAGAAAACATGATAAATAATTTGTCATTTTATTTTAATTAAACAATAAATGTTCCTAGTACAACCCCAAAATATTATTTATATGATTGATCTCGGAGCATACTACTAACAGTTATAGTGTGTGATTCCGATGAGTAATGAGTCCCCTTTGACATTATCACCCCCCAAACAACCCCCATCCATACGTTAAAAGCAAACCCTAGTAAAAGCTTCCTCACTGAGGTTTCTGTTTCGTTGCTTTTGTGATAAGCTCACCACATGAATGAACAACCAACAAAAAAAAATATTCATTACATGTCGGCTAGAAAGCTAATATAAATTGTGGGACGAAAATTGTCTGCTACCATCTCTTCCTCGACGCCAATGCAATCGCCCACATGTCACCATCGAGAAAAACACACACGTTAATGCTATAGAAACCAAATTACACTAACTTTATGTGGACTATTAGATTAGTATATCCAATTGAATTCCATAGATCATCCGATAGTTTTGATTGTGTTCACGTCAGTTCATATACATAGAGAAAATATTGAAAAAATTAACTAGAATTCCCACCCTGACCAGTCATCCATGCATACTTGAGGTGTTACAATAAAATGTGTAATTCCTAAAAGAGAGTTTGCGACCACTGTCGTTTTATATATGATTGGATTTGAGCCGTGATATCTGCTCTATTTTTCTTTGCATTACAATAAAACTAAAGGTATCGAGTCTCTCAAAACACCCGTCAAATATACCCCTATACGTATCCCTAACGTAATGTTGAGAGAGAGAGAGAGAAGAGAGAGAGAGAGAGAGAGAGAGAGAGAGAGAGAGAGAGAGAGAGAGTGCACTTGCTTCAAAATTGAGAGTATATAGGTGAAGAAATGGATTGATAGAAAAATACAGGTTGGTGTAATTTACCGTTTGTTAGTGTCATTCTTGTTGGTACGTATGAATACTATAAGGTTAAACATATGGCTTTAAGGACACTCCAGGTTGACACTGGAGCTAAAGCCGCCCCCCACCCCCAAACACCCCTTCTCTCACCATAGCTAAAGAGAGGTGAAACGTCTCAAAATTAGAAAAAGTGTTGCTCCATATCCACTCTACCCTTATAATCTTATTTCTTTCTGATTAACATTCTCTCACCATTTTTCAAATAGAGTCGAGGATTTTTTTTTATTTTAATTTTTTTTGAGACAAAAAAATTACACTTTGGCTCAACTATGAACCTCCTTTCACATTGTCCCCTCAACTATTATATCTTTCATATTGCATCATCAACGTTCACTATTAATTTGATAGAAGTATGTTTTATTTTACCCTTCAAACTATGTGATTTTTTTCACTTTGTCTTGGCACGTTATTAGTTTCCGCCAAAAAAATAACAAACATTTGCTTTTGGGGTAATGTAAAATAATTTAATTAGTTGAGAAGATAATGTAAAATTTTCAATAATTTAAGGGGCAAGATGAAATTGAGTCTATAGTTAAAAGGGTCCAATTTAGGATCTAAACATGAGCTACCCTACTGGGTAGGGGTATTTTTTTTTCTTTTGAACACTTGCCCTAAAAGGTTTAAAGAGTTGTTTTTTTTTTTTTTTGATAATCAACGATATTTTTACAGAGGAGGAGAAGGGGAAGGAAGTCGAACCATCAACATGTCACTCCATTATGAAGGGCTTTTGGATAAGACTTCGGTCTTTAAAAGAGCTGTTTTTTCAGTCATAGCTAAAACTACATTTATTCTGGTACATGAGGATACACAAAATCAAAGCCTAACTTGACGTGCAAGCTACCTCCTTATTTTTTAAGAAAAATTTCATTCTCGTGTTCTTTTACAGAATACAAGCAAGAAAAATTCTCTCTCCCTCTCTCTCTCTCTCTCTAACAGGAGCAAGACACAGTCCAAATCTAGAAAAGAGAGAATCAAAAGTGGAGAATTCAATTCCTTCCCGACATCAACAACAAGAAGAGAAGAAACATTTGGTTTAGTGAAAAAAAGTGCTTTAAAAGAGAGAACTTGACTGTTTCCTTTCCATTTCCTCCCTCTTTTCCTGTCTCTGATCTCACATATCCTTGTTGCTATGTCTATCTTCTGTTGAAAGGTGGAAGAAACAGGAGAAAGAGAAAATCAAACTTGGGATGAGCATAAAAGCAAAACAAGAGAGATGAAATGGTGTAATGATTCCAACGACGAAAGAGCCGTCCAAGTAATCCCATCTTCTACAGAAAACAGTGGTGTTTTCCCAGACGGGGTTGAAGGTAGGACCACTGTAACATGCCCCTCATGTGGCAATAGCTTGGAACTCCAAGATCAGGTACCATATCATTTTCTGCTGATTAATTGTAGATAGGTTGGTGGTATTAATAGTGAAGAATGATTTGTCAACTTTGAGTATACTCAGATTCAATTCGATTTGATTACTTAAGCTCAACTGCAAAGTTTAGATTCTTGCTCAAATTAGATTTAGTAGAAACATAAGAGTTGAAACCTGACTGAATTTCTCTTCAAGAATTATAAAAACAACCCTAAAATTTAATAATCTAAGCTTAATAAGATTGGTTAATCAATAGAAAATCCTTTGAAGTCTACTTAATAACACATAAAATCACACCTTATGCGAAGTTCAAAATTTTCAAAAGCTTATTAGAGAGGAGAGGAAGAAAGAAGCGTGCAGTTTGAATTTCTTTGGAGATAAGGTTTGCATTGTTCATCTTTCTAATAGTGATTGGTTGAAAAGAAAATTAGAATTATATACCGACAATAACCTATTTGAGCCAAACTATGTCTATACGATTCGAGTACACTTTTTTGTAAATTCGACTCATTTATTAAATGAATTTTAAAAATATAGTCAAACTTCGTTCATTTTTCAACTTGAAGAACGAGCCTAACTAAGTCAAAACTAGGTGAAGTTCAAGCAACATGGATCATTTAACACACCTATCTAGCTCTTCTTTTAGTACGGATTTGTGTATTCGCATCGAATTTACACTTTTTTATGATGAACATGAAATAGACTGGAATTCATGATTTGCCGGGACTGCCTGCTGGAGTGAAGTTTGATCCATCTGACCAAGAAATTCTTCAACATTTAAATGCAAAGGTGTTGTCTGAAACCCATAGGCTTCATCCACTAATTGATGAATTCATTCCCACTCTTGAGGGAGAGAATGGAATTTGCTACACTCATCCAGAGAAGCTACCAGGTGAATGTCAAGGACCCTTGCTTTGAACTTGCTAAATCTTATTTACTCTATTCCGATCATCTCCAATACACTTTTTCTTCAATTCCCTTTTTGACACGTTATTCATCATTAATAAATGAAGGACTCACTTGTATATACTGGGTCTCACATGAATGCATGATAGATAATATACTAAGAAAAGAATTAAAGAGATAGTGTATTGGAGAAAATCTAATCACTCTCTAATTATCGTTTCTATCATAATGGTAATTTTGGTTTCCATAAAGGCTATACTTTCCTTGCTCAATGTCATTGTTGTATTGAAATTCATAACCAATTAACTTTTCTTTTCCATTCCCTTTGATTTAGAGCACAAAGTAATTAGGATTAGTGGGTGGTAATTGCGTGGGACGTATTCATTACTCATAATGTGAAATCGAAAATCCCTTTGCGGGTATATATCAAATAAGGGTTAATGGTACCTTTATTCCTTAAGGTGGCGTGTTTGTCAATTTAGTATGTAAAGTATTTAGTTCTTATTTAAATTGTCCCTAAATTCCTTGCTAGAGTATCCATTAAGTTTTTTTGACAAAAATAACCACGTGTCATTCTTTCAGACGGTATTACATGACCAACACCTAATTATTTCTGTCAAAAACTTAATGAGTCGCGTGTGTGGTGACCATATAGGCATGAATTGAATAAGGTAAGCAACAAATTAACAAAATTGATAGAATGAGGACCAAATTCGCAAAACGCACATACTTTCTGGATCAAAAATGCTATTGAGATAGTAATAATTTTCATACTTCAACTCCTTATATTCGTCAAACAGTTTAATTTAATTCAGTATTTAAATTTCAATAGATACTAAATAGTTTATGAATTAAAAATTCTGCATTCAGTACTTAAAATTAAACATTTAATTTTCTGTACTTAATTTTCAGTTTTATAAAATACCACCTTACAGTTTAAACAATAGTGAACAGAGTGAGATTTCAAAAACTCATGTGGCCTAAACCACAACTACGTTCCACTCCTTTAAGCAATTGGTATAAGATGTTCATTTGTGCTCTAACAAGGTAGATGCCATGTTGTCCCTTAACCTATATCATAAAGTTCTCAGAGTGGCATTGTCAGTGTTACCTCTTGTGCCTCTAATTGACATGCTGCATAAGTATCTTGTACAGTTTTATGAAGAGCAATGAAAGATTGGATTAGATGTTCTACACAAACTAATGTTGCATTGTACTTCCCCTCATGGATATCCAATGGGGAAGAGAAAAATTTTCCTTCTTATTCCAATGTTTTAGGTGATATAAATCCATGTACGCTGTCTATTCAATTTTGCTCTTGATCATATATGCTTTCATTATTGAGTTTCGCATCAAGAACTCGAGTCCATACATATATATATGATTTAGCAAATCATGGATGATTCAAATACTCGGAATTACTACCGAGTTACTCAAAACGCTCACATATGATATGATTTTTATTTTGGATTTATCTCGACTTGAAGCACCTTTCTCCACTCATGTTACTTGATGGTTACAACAGCAAAGTACTAAAACTATTCCAGGACATGATAATCTTCTAGTTCTTGACCTTTTCATTTCATATACCATTTTCTTCTAATGACCTAGTTAATGTTATTCTTATCAAAAAATATATAATTTCTCTTTGGCTGTCATGTTTGAGCATGCAGGAGTGAGGAAGGATGGCCAAATCCGCCACTTCTTTCATCGACCTTCAAAGGCGTATACAACGGGGACTCGAAAACGAAGAAAGGTGCATGCAGGTGCCGATGGTGGTGAGACAAGATGGCACAAAACAGGCAAGACTAGGCCAGTTATAATAGGTGGGGTTGTGAAAGGGTATAAAAAGATACTAGTGCTCTACACAAACTATGGTAGGCAAAAGAAGCCAGAAAAGACTAGTTGGGTCATGCACCAGTATCATCTTGGAGATAATGAGGATGAAAAAGATGGAGAATTAGTGCTTTCAAAAGTGTTTTTTCAAACACAGCCTAGACAATGTGGTTCAAATGTTAAAGATTCAGCTGACAAAAAATCAAAAACAATAACCAGGGATGCTAGTCATATGATCAAGAACACTAACTTTGTTGAGTTCTATAATCCTCCGTTTCTCGGGTTTTCAGATTCCACCAATTTGGTTGTCCATGGTGATGGGTCCTCCTTTATTCATCTACCTACAAGTGCAAGCAAAGGAAATTGAGGAAATAGAACATGGACATGTTTGGTGGTAATTTTTTTTCGATGAACACACAGAGGGATATATGCATATTTTTAACATACTTGACAGTATTGGTTGCTATAGTTTCATACTCAAATAACTTAATATTGAGATCATAATGAGGAAGGGGAATAAAAAGATTGGTTTCTTCTAACTGTAAAGCCATCTTCTTTGTAGTTTTGGGTTAAAGAAAGTGAACATAAAAATGTTCTTCAAGGATTTCTTGAAGAGAGCTCATACTAAAGAGGTACTGCATTGTATTTAATTACCTGTTTCTGTGGAAGAGTGATTTGTATTTATGTTAAGAGATGTACAAAGATGATTCTTGCAAACTTTCACTTTGGAGTTTTAGTTGCATTAATGTTAGAAGTAAATATTGGGTGTAACAGTTATACCCATGGTGTAACCGCCTTATGTTTAAAGAATAAATGGACAAAGTAACCCCACTTTTTTTTACATAGAATAGTTACTATCCTACATGAAGGGGTAGTTATTTGAATGAGTGACGTCCACTTTATATATTTTGTGAGTTATAATTAAACAATTACACCACATGACAATGCAAACGTGATATAACCATTACACCCAGTGTAGGAGATTTGTAGCTATCTCTGTCTGTAACTCACTAGAGGCCCGGGAAATAAAGAGAATATGTGCATAGATGAACAGGGCACATACATTGTGCTAGTGTAATCAACACCTCATGGTCATTAAAGCGAAAACAAAATCAATGAGAGAAACACTTACAATTGCACTTAGTTCTTGGGTCCTTGAATACAGGAGACATTGAGCATTACAACGCTGATCTGACTGGTGAAGAACAGATCCACCGGTATTCAAGTTGCTGAAAAAAGAATCACTTAGTTATAGGAAAATACAAGACATCTACAACAAACCATCCTTTCATCAACTCATAAAACAATCATGAACTACAAACAACAGCAAGATTTCTCTGCATCTTAGCTAGCATATGCACGAACCCTAGGTTCAACCACTGCCAGAGTCTTGTCCATCATCTACAGTGTTGTTATCTGATTAGCAATTTTCCCAAAAAAGACAGTAAACATAATAGCAGATCATTTATAAATAATATCAAAATAGGAATGCCAAACACAGACATAACATAACTTCATCTAACATATCTCCGAAACTGGAAGTATCTGCAATTACACCCTAGACAAACACAAGGTAAGCAGGCAAAGGTACATGAGCTGTTAGAGTTAGATTACTTTCAATATCATTACTTACACCATCCGATAAATATTTTCTAAATCTAACACAACAAAAGTGGAAGAGACAGCCTCAAATGACCATAAAAGCAAACCAAAGAAGAGAAAAATGAAATAACAATAGCTAACTGAATAATGAAGCCGATGGCATCCAATATGAATAAAAACCTCTGCCGATACAGAAGAAATCTCAGGCTCTGTACCAACATTGATGAAGACTTTTGAGGATCGACTTTGTGGCTTCTATTACTCACACATAGGTGACCAAAGCTGTCTATCACTCTATTCTCAGCTGATTAAAGGCATCCTTCTTGAACTAATTCACATAAAAAGTCATGATTTCTGGAGAACACATTTCTCGTAGAGAGCAAGGATGTCTTTCTTATTGGGATTCTTCAACTGGAGCAGCTCAGAGCCAAAATTATGTTTTGTGAGCTCTTGCTTAAGTTTCTGCACTGTGAACCTTGAATAATCTTCTGAATTGGTTTGTTGGCTGTGGTTGTCTTCATCACCCTTAAACACTGAGCCACCATCTTCTGGTGTTGTGAACTTCAAAGGGCTAGTTGTACTTTTGGACTTCTTATTTCCTCTGGTTATTCGGTCATTAGTGTCCATATCATGAACAGATTCCACACCTATTTCATATTCATCTGCCCTTGCACGTTTCCCATGCGAAACAGTTTTGAGCTTACTGTCCAATGCTGTTTCGTTGAGGCGAACTGCAGTCATCTGTTGCTGGAGTAAATCAAGTTTTCCTTGTGTGGCTTGTAGCTGAACAGAGAGTGCTTCTGCTCTGTTGTTTGCCTCTGCACGTGCTGTACGCTCGGTCTCCAAAAGACTCTCAAGGACTTGAACTGTATCAGCCCTCTGTTCATTATTCGATTCCAATAGTGACTCAATTTCTTTTTCCCTTTCTTCAACCCTTGCCTCCAGCATTGCAACTTTGGATAGGGCATCCATCTGGGATGCACGGTACCTTTCTACTTCATCCGCCAAATCAGTTTTTTGCCTCTCCAGATTTTCAACAAGCCTCTCAGCTCTCTCAATTTGGGCCAATCTTTCCATCGCTATTCGCTCAAACTCACTCTTGTCTCTCTGGGCAGTGACTGCTTCTGCTCGTGCTTTGTCAGCCAATTCAGTTGCTCTTTTAGCTTCTTTTTCGGCAATTTTACACCTTTCATGGACTTCTCCAAATCTGTTAAACTCAGATTGGTACTTCTGCTCCAGAAGATCTTTTTCCTGTTCTAGAGTCCTAGCTTCTCTTTCAAATGATCGTGCAGTAGTGCTTACACTTTCTAACCTCCCACCCAACTCCTTAATCTCAAGCTTTAAGCTTGATATCTCCAGATAATAGTTCTTTATCTTAGACTCAGCAGCCTACAGACAGTGAAAGACCAATAAATAATACATTACCCAGAAGGTACATACTAAAATACATGCACTCCACCTCAAAATTGTATTATAAGCACCGACATCAACTCATGGGCATAATAGAAGTTCTTTGAAAGATAACTACTACACCCAACTCTCACATGCGGTCCAACTACCAACCACTTTTTTGCTAATCCATTAATTTCATCATTTTAACCACATTTTATGAATTTAAACTCATCTTCAAATGCAAAGTATGCCCAAACAATCGAGTACAAGTCGGTGATGTGTATAAAGTGCAGCATATAAAAATTAGTAGAAACTTTATGATAGCCCCTCTGTCTAAATGTGTGTGTGTGTTTGCAAAGTCCATCCATTAAAAAGTCACAAGGTGAAATCCACTCAAAGCTCACCTTCAACTCCGAATTCAAAGTAGTCAGCCGCTGCTCAGCTTGTTCAATTTTTGCCACCTTAGCCTTCATTTCCTCTTCCTGTATTTTCATTATAAAGGAAACGAATCATCAAACTATTCAAGTACAAGTACTACTAAGATGATCTGCAGTATGTCAAACAACTAGAGAGAGAGAGAGAGAGAGAGAGAGAGCACCTTATCAGCCAATGTACCAGAAAATTCTGCTCTCAAAGCATCTTCTCTCAGTTGCGTTTGCTTGTTTGTGCGTTCTTGAACAGTTGCTGCCTTCTCAAGAGCATTTTTCGCTTCTCGAACAGCAATGTCAAACTTCCGTTTCCACTCCTCTGCCTCCTCTTGAGCAGACTGAGTTTGCTCCCGAGCAGCAGCCAGCCTTGCTTCAGCAGCACTGCTCCTCGATCTGAGAATTGCTATTTCTGCAGTTACCTGTTCTTCCTCAGCCTTTTGCTTCGATGAAACCTGTTCATATTTTCTTTTCCACTCCAAGGAGTCCTGCCTGGCAGAATCCAGTATTTTTGATAAGCTGGAAGATCTCTCTTCCAATGAGCTACATTTGCTCTGCAAATTTGTTATGCGGTTCATATAATCATCCGCAAGCTTCTTCTTGTCGTTAATAGCATCTTCATAACGCTTCAGATATTCAGATTTGTACCTCTCACTAGCGTCTAGTTGCTTGTTAAGCAACAACATCTTATCTTCCATTGAGCGGCATTTCAACATGAGGGAACTTTTCTCAGTACCCACTTGGTCTATTTGCTTCTTGATGAGGTCAAAGACTGGACCTTCCAAACTGGAGCATTTGTAACTTCAGATAGAATATTAAACACAAAACCAGTAGACTATAAAATGCCAATACAAACCTTTGTCGCAAGAACACTGCCAGTTTATGCCATTTTTCTGGACCATGGGATGATGCTTCATACTTGGATATAAGATTATCAAGAACCTGCATGACAAAATTTTGACCATATCAGACTTTGTTGACAACCATAATCTACTTATTCAAGGATTCCAAAAAACTATCCAGCTATAGAGCTCAATTAAAAGTTAGGATTGATTACTTCTGAGAAGCAAAGAACTCATATGAAGCACATCAGAGAATTACTAGACGTTCATAATGAAATCCCTTGCAAATAAAAGCTTGAATAATAAAGGCAGGCACTATTCAGTAAAAAACTCATGTACAAAGACAGTAACAAAACAGTAATCAAAATGTAACCAACACATCAATTTTCATTTTAAAGTTCCAAATTTTGAAGCAAAACTCAAAACAATGGCCTTCCTCAAATTTGTCATGCTAATTAATCCAAAAATGTAGAAGTGTATTCTCCACTGAAAACCCAAAAAGAACCATGGGCAAGATTGACTAGTTTGCTCCACTATAATGTTGGAAACGGTTCTCGATTTTTGAAACAATCGATAGCTAAATGCCAGGAAACCTTAGGATAGAATATCAGTAAATCATGCCAACTTTCAAATACCATCTGACAAACACAAATTCCATGTCAATCATCTACCTGCCTGACATGAATCCTGAAAGGTCAATCTAAAAAAGCCTTCTTATCACAACATTATATTGAAATGCCAATGGAGATGACAACTACAAGGCTGGAAAGGGGGGACTAGTAGCTTCCCAACTTCAATGAAAACTCAGGATATAATATTATATGCAATGTCAAATTGTACAGTGCTACGCCCACACAAAAGCCTACAATCTGATGCAAATATTTGTTCCGAATTCCGCTGCCTTTGGTCATTCAAACAGTGAAGCAGAAATGAGAAAATCCTCAATCTGTGACTATGCTAAAAAGGACAAGGCTTGAACAAGAACAATGCAAAAAAGAATAGCTTGATTCCATTTTTTTTAGGTGTAACATTTATGTTCCTTATTAGGGGTATAATCAGCTCACTAAACATTTCTGCCAAACCTAATTTCAGCCGAATCTTAATGGAACTTGTTGATTGTGCTCGTCTTTGAATCAGCAACATAAGATTTAAAATTTGATTATCCTATATAGGCCTTCAATTCCAAATAGAAAGAGGCCTACATTGGAGTCCAAATACTATTGGCGCATAAACATCCCAGACTATATGTACCCAGATCAGAACCCGTATGATTAAAAAAAATATAGGAAAAAAGAAAATAAACATGTCGTTAACACTAGAAAACAACATTTTGGGACACCTAGGTAATGAAAACCAATAATCAGGCTAGAAATATACCTTCAGGACATTATCTAGCTTTGCATCGGAAGCATGACAAGCAGTTCTCAGTTCCTTTTCCATGCTCTGTATGACATTTAAGCATTGTAGGTAAGCCTCCCTAAATGCGTCCCTCTTATAATCCTGCATCAGTATCCAATCCAAATCACTGGGAGCACAATTGAATTTTTGCAAAAGAGAGTGGAGGCTTCTTGTGATGTCGGTCTCCCTGTGCTTGACTTAGCAATGCCACCCCAACCCCAGGAGAATAAAGCCCACCAAAAAAAAATCTTGGCTAATTGAGACAAGAAGTCAAAACTCAAAACCACATGTGGTCTACAAAACTCAAAGAAATATTCTTCCACATAAATCTCCACATTGGAAGTGTATAGCTTGCTGACAAATTCCTTCCTTTAAAATCAAAAACTAAATATAAGAATACAAAAAGAGGATACAACCTGTGCAATATAACAAAAAAGGAATGAAAAAATATACATGAATCTAATAATATTCATTCTTCACAATACTGTACCTGGGAAAAAGAAAAGAAAAATAACAAGAACCATTACCTCAAATGCCTTTCTTAAGAAATTCTGGAGGCGCTTTTCATATTTCTGCCTGGTTGAACCTGCCCCTACAGCTGTAGCATTAAATGCAGCCAATGACTTTTGAACTGCTTCTTCATGGGCTTCTCTCAGTGCAGCCTACAATCACTTGGAAATTAGAGAATAGTAGAACTAAACAAGAAGTGGGAAGAAAGCAAACTGACTTCTTCTGGAGGCTTGGAACGGTCAAAAGAAGACATATAAACTTCAGCTGCTAGATCGTATGCTCTCTGACACTCCGCTTCTTCAACACTCTGCAGAAAACAACAATTGAGACCTCTGAGAATATACTTTTTAAGGAAAAAATCCATTGCATGTTAAACTGCCAAAGGACCACCTTCATATTTTTCGTCCATCAATAAACTGTATGCCTATAAAAATGTTTAATAAAATGATAAGATAAATGCAAAAGCAGAATAAAATATATCATTTGTGATCTTTAAAAAAAATCCTCTGGAGAATCCGTAAACAGCAGGTTTCGACACAGGAATATCATTCAATATATAGTCCTTAAAAAAATTCCTTCATGGACTCTGATTTGAGGTGTTCTATAATCCAGAAGGCATAATACAAATTTTCTTATGCCTCTCACCCAATGGGTACTTCCACATTATATTTCTTGAACTATTACAAAAAATTTCTCCATGCCACAAAAGCAGAGACAGCCATGACATATACAATTGAGAGACAATCAGTGCATCAGCATCACAAAAGGAGAAAAAAAGAATTAAAAAAAAAAAGAAATAGCCAGCTTGTATCAGCATTCTCGTCTAAACTGCAAACCTCAGCTGCATATAACCAGTAAAATTTTGTACTTACAGTCTTTGCATACTAGACCTCATTAAAGATTGTGCTTGTAACGACTATTTGTCAACATCTCTGAACAGCAAAATTTTACCATCTGTCTACACAGTTGCATACCATACGTATGTATACCAAAGTATCTCAATATTATCCACTCACACAAAGGGGAAACACCTTACAACAAGCATACCTATGATTTCAAAACCATAACAGTTGTATGTTCTACATCAAACTCAAATGTATCTTAAATCTTTTTAGCAATCTCTGTTGATATCCTTCCAAAAACATCAGGGTAATAAGTTGTCATTAATGGAAAAAGGAAAATAGCCCTGCCCTGTTCATCTTGTGTCAAAAAACCAGCTGGACTACCATTAAATAACATCAACATCAACATGGATCTAATCTGGGACAGTACCAAAAAATTTGAAAGAAAATAACAGTCTCAAAGTCTCCAAGAAAAATTGTGACTGAATGCTGAGATGAGCTAGACAATCGGGGTAAGGCTTTGATATCTTTGGAGTTTTCATAATTTTAACAAGAGAGTGGGAAAATTAACTTTCCTAACAAATCAACATAGATGAGACTTTATCTTCCATCTATGAAGCTGGACATGAACACGAGATATAACAATGACATGGCAAGAAAATGGTAGCGAAATAACCAACTTCCTTTAAGCTTAATAGTCAGCAAAAATGTTCTCTAACACAGTATAAACTTACAGTTAATTATAGGATGTTGATATGAAATAACCATATAAACTACTCAACCAACTATGAACAGAAGATATAGAACTGCTTGTGCATACTCTACATCTCATCACCACCAGTGAGAGTAGAAATCATTGAAAGTGCAAAACAAATGGAAACGAAAGCAAAATAGAGCTCCAGAGGCAACACTGACCTGCCATGAGGAGCTTATTGTGGGCACAGCACCATTATTAAGAGCATCTAGGAAGGATTGAGTAATACGAGCAAGAATGGGTCCTGTCATTACTGTAGTCCCCACTTGCTTGGGCTTAGTCCTCTCAAAAACAAACCTTGTCAAAGCATCAAGACCAGATCTGAATTCTGGCCTTAACTTGTCCAGCTGCATTAAAAAAACAACAGTTTAACATGCTAAGAAAATTTGAGGAGTGGAAAAAAAGAAAAATCTAGAGATGCATTCATAACCACAATATCGAAAACATCACCACAGACACTAATATAATCCGTACAACAATTGCAAAGTACTGACTGGGATTTGGTCAAGACGCTGGAGATCATTTTCGTTGCTCAAAGGGCGCACAAGAGTGAAGCATTCTCTGTCTGGAAAAAGAACTTGAATGGAGTCCCGAATCTAGTAATCATTATTTTGAATCATTAGAACATCCACTGGACATGGAAAATAAAAACGCCATTGAATATCAAGTGTTCAATCTATTACACCAAATCAGCAATAATTAATCTAGTCCAGGGAGTAACTATCCCTTTCTATTACAGAGAGAAAAAAAAAAGGATTGGAGCCAAATTTACAACCTCATTTTTAGCAGTTACATCTCTTCCACCACTTTGAACTGGCCTTAAAGCAAGCTCTAGGTAGTCACGAGGTGTTATCTTCCTGTTATCCTCTGCCAAGTCCAAATAAAAGTCCTGCAAGGATAAACCTGAAAGTTATACGATGCTCACATCTAGAGTATCAGATGACACATTTAACAAACATGTAAACATGTCAATGGTATTAGAAAACTCATACTGAACTATTAAACAACATTACACAAAGAAAGGAAAAGATGGAGGTGTCATGATGTCAGGACAGCATTACCCTAAGAAGCCAGACAAAGATCGGGGAGAACTGCCCGAGCTCAGAAGCTGTGCTCCTTCCCCCAGAGGCTCTAACACGAATGTGCTTAGTCATTTCAGTAACAAGAGAGAGGCGATCAAGAGCAGCTTCGTCAATACCACCCATCTGTGTTTGGAGAACAGAGATAGCAATCAGAAAGGGTCCAGAAGAAAAAAATAATGGAAACAATGCATAGTACGAGCTAAGCATAATCAACCTAATGCAAAAGAACCTTAAAAATAATCAAGTCTCACATAAGATGTCCCAACCTGGTTGTATATAAAAAGGCTTGACAAAAGGACAGCTAAAGAGAATATTTGTGTGCTATACGTTCCCTGTCAAACAAGAGAAGAAGCATGAAATAAAAATGATAGATTACATAATAAGATAGTCAAAGACTTTAACAAATCAAATACTACAACAAAAATGGAGATTAATATTACTAAGATGAGAGAGAAGTAGTGACACTGATAATAAAAAAAAATGAAGGAATCAAAAGTTGGTGCAACAGAATGACAATAAGAGTAGTAGAGACGGAAACATATCTGGCACAGCATTAACTTTAATTAACTAGAAATAAAACAAAAAAGTGAATCTGAAAAGTTTAATATAAACTAATTCTTGTGTAAGAAATAATGCTAACCGTTTGATCATATGCATCAATTCCTTCACTATCTAACAGTAAAAGATTGTATTCAGTTCCATCAAGAGCAGTTCTCCTTAAGGGAGCACTCCACAACCAAAGCCCTTTGGTACATGGCCGATGCGTTGACGCCACCTGAAATCCACTACTCCTCCCAAGAAGCTACAACACATACATGCAAGTGACATTGCATATTCAGACTACACAATGGTAAAAAGCAGTAAAACTGTACCAACTGTAAGGGTGACAATATAAACATCTTATATTCATAATTCATTCCACATCACTTTATCAAGTTTGTGCTCTTTATTGCATCAAATAATCACTAAACGAAGCAGCCAAAATAACATGTAAACATGATATAGAGCACTGCCATTGTAAATGTCAGGAAAGAAAAATATTAAGTATATTGATTTAACCCAAAATTGCCGTGTTTAGTAAACCTTCATAGTGATGGAAATAGCGGCAAGGCAGCAAATCATTGTTACTCATAGTCATCTCAGTGTCTCAACTCTACAAATTGTCAAACCAGTAAGTGTTAGTCTCCATGCTGTAGGCAACTTGGGACATACATTTGTCAATATTGTCAGAGGATTTTCAGGCAGTTCTTCTGAAATGTATATATAAGGAACCTCAAGTTCAGTTGAACTTTAGCACTTATGTAATTCATGTGTCCTAATGAGCAATTTCAGGAGATTCTTTTAACTTTTGTTGAAAATGAGCTTTTACAATAAAGCCGACCCTCTGGGATGTCAACTTGCCACTTCTCATGGGTCCCTTATTCTCCCAACTTCAAAGCAACCTTCCCAACTAAGAGGCAGATCCCACTTCTGCAGCCTTTACTGATAATTAGACTCCCTATGTTAGTGTATCCTATCATGGTCAATCCCATCCATTTACTAGAGAAATTTCTGTAGTTATTTAATCTTAAAGAAATCTCTTATGTATGTTGAATAAGCACTAAATGAATAAACCAAAGTAACGTGCAAACATGGCATAGAGCACTTCCACTGTAAAACTTTGCAAAGAGAAATGCTAAACATATTAACCAACCTGGACTTTGCACGGATATCTAAAAACTTATTCTTTTGATAAACCACGGAAGCCTTGAAATTTCCATGCTTAATAAAGCTTCAGAGAGTTGGCAAATTTGAGCAAGAAGGACAAGCATTGTTATTGATTCTCATCTCTGTGTCTCAACTCGCAAGTAAAAGCTAGAGTTTTTTACAAAAAAATCAAAGGATTTGCCGGTAGTTCTTTCTCTAAACCGAATATTAAGAAACCTCAAGTTCAGTGGAACTCTAGCACTGACGTGAAGTCCTGCCCTATAAGTAGCAATTTCAAGGTTTTTTTTCCCTTTTTAACTTATGCTCTAAATAAAATTTGACAATAATACAACATGCCTTGCTACACCAAGACCAAAAGCCCTGATTTCCCAATCAGTAACACTCCACACAGGACAATACAACCACACATTATACATAAATTCTCGCTAGAAACCGCGTAATACTATAAATAACCAACCCTAGATAGCAAAACTAGTAAAAAAATTAAAATTTTCCCAATCTTTCAATATTTTTTCCCAGTTTACCTGATTCAATATGAAGCTCTTGCCCTGGCGAGCCCGACCACAGACGGAGACGACGCCGATGGGCTCTTTTACGAGCTGAAGAATAGCGACGGCCTCCGGATCCATCTGGAACTTTCCTTTCTCATCGCAGTAGACGAGGCGGATCGGCCTTGCCGGACCGGCAGTGGAGACGGTGACTGCTTGCTGCCGTGGAAGTGGCGGTTCCGGCGACGGAGTCGCCGATTGGGGTGAGTCGCCGGAGCCTCTTCTGAAGAAATTCATCATCTTCTCTCACTCTGCTTTTGCTTGTAGCTGACCTGTCGTGGTATTATTTAGAGTGAGAGTGAGAGTGAGAGTTTAAAATGGGGGAGGGAAATGGAGGTCTGTGCAGTGTGGATGGAGGCAAAGGAACAAAAAGGGCCTTGGGTCCTATCTAAACCCACCTACTAAGGCCCATTTTGGGTTGGGCCTATCCAAACCCATAGGACAAAGGCCCATTGTGCGCCACTGGCTGACTATCAAGATTGTTGATTGGTCAATGAAACTTATACAATTGGTCAATCCATGGTTTGAACAGAGTCGCTTTAGCGAGTTGTAATTGGTGATCTCAATGGTGGGCCACGGGCCACCTGACCAAGCCCCAAAAATTATCTTTTTTATTCCTTCGTAGATTTTGTTGTCCAACGGCTTGGCCCTCAGGCTTTCCTGATGGGTGCCTTTATAACTTAATCAGGCCCATCCGGCCTAACGAGTTCAAAGCAATAGCCCATGAACTTATCCATTGGGCCCACTACACTCATTTTTTTTTTCCTTTTTTCTGTGCGGGGAAAGAAGAAAAGGGAAAATGGGATGAAGTTGAAACTCGCAACCATCTGCTATTGTTGATTTTCACTATATTATCTTAGATTTTGTTTAAAAAAAAAATTTCCCACGAGACTAGATTTATTATATCTCCTATGTCAAATGTCAATGGATTGAAAATGTTGCAAAAATACAACTTGTTTGTGACTTAAACCACAATTAACGTTGGCTTAAAATTAAATTTTATTTTTTGTAGAGATATGTTGTTATTCCGATAATAGTAGTGGATTGAATCAGCAAATTAGGTTTTGTTGTTTTGTATTGGAGGTGACAGGAAGGGACAAAGAAATGGTCTTTTTGGGGAGAAATGGAGTTAAAGTCATGGAGATAATACATTAGTAGCATAAGCAAATGTAGTCCAAAAGGGGATTGAAGATGAGTTTTTCATCAGGGAATTCATATAGTTATTATTCTTTCGACTCGGAGTCGATAGAGCATAATAAAGAAACATAATTTACGTAATTGACGTCAATACCTAAAATAAAGATTTTATTAAAACGAGTTGAGTTGAATACTCCAGTTGATTGAAGAGAATCGGCGGGGTGGCCCGATGTCATTTTGCATCACCAAGACCCAAGTGCTTTGCACACCGAGTCGATGGTTGATAATGGTGCCTTCAACCATGATTGGCATTGTGGCTATATCAGAAGATATAAGAACCCATGCTGCTTAAAATTAACAATGGTGACAGGAGGGAAGTATCTTATCAATGATGTATATTATATGATGAACTAGTAAAAACAATTGCTTAATGTACGAGTCTCTAGTCACTGTCAGATCTAAAAAGAGTCAAATACATACAGTCTTATCGAGCATTCATATCATAAATGTTATTTTCACGACTCTTATTCTTGATGTTCAAGTTACAATAATGTTTTCTTGTCCAAACCTGCCTCCAATTGGCAACTAATTTCTGCCATGGTTGAGACTTGTGTGCAGTACAAGACAGAGCAAGGTAAAGGTTGGAATAAATCCAAAGCTATAATTATTTGATTGCTAAACTTATATGGGGGTGAATTTATAATTTATAATTTCTTATTTTCTTCTTTAGCATTTAAATTGTTTGCTCAGATACCCCTAGGTCCTTATACTCCGGCACCATTGAATACCTTCTCTCTGTCCATTGTCTTGGCTTTTGCAGCATGTTGTTTCTGAGCCGTCTCTTTAGAGTTACACCATGGATGGACGAAACATAATTTAAAGATTTAATGTATTATGATTATTAAATTAGTAGTGGAGTTCATTTAATGTTATAATCACTAATAATCTAATAGTCATAATCATTATATCTGATAACGGTAGAATTTTGTAGTGGATTGTCCCTCTTACACCCCAAATCACTTAATAGGCCAAAAAGTGTGCACAACAGCCTGAGAAACACCTTAACAACTCATATGCTCCATCAGGGTCCAACTTGATATACCCCTGTTTGGTCATAATAAGCTCAACGTTAACGTTAAGCAGCCTGAGATCAAGGAACTCAATACTAATCAGACCCTAAAATGCCCCATTTCACGCCACATGTCCAGGGGACAACTTTTGAAGCCTTTAACGAACATGCACCCTCTGGCTAAGGAAATATTTGTGCACGTTACTATCCAAAGATTGTGGATACAATGGCGTCGCAAGGAAAAGATCACTAAAGAACAAAAGAAGAGAGGACCACAAAATCAACAAAAAAGGGATAGGAAGCTGTAAGAAGCTCCAAAAGGATTATCCGTATAAATAAAACACTATCACACTACAAAAGTGACACGAACAATTTTTCCATTGATATATTGGTATTACTGAAGCATTGGATAAACCGGCTTTAAGCTAAACAACTTGTTGTAATCTTCTTCTTTAAGAAATATATATCTCTAATAAACAAGAGATTCTATTATAGTGGATATAACTTTAGTCTCACGGTTAAAGTGAACCAGTTATATACTATTTATAATTCATTGTCACTCTTTAATCCATTGTCAATTTATATATTTACACTATCCCCTTTTCGCACCATCAAATCACCATTCTGGATTTAGGAGTCATGACCTCCTATGCATGTTTGAAAAGAATATTGCTATTGAGACTTGCCACAAAAATTTAAGAGAGAGTTATATTCAGGCCTCCTGAGATTTGTTATTTAATCACTTAGATTCTTGATATTTAAAATATTATACACAGATCCACTAAAATTTATACGAATGTAACACTTAGACCTCTAATGTAAATATATCTGTTAATAAATTATACTTAAATCCCCTTTGAAGTTTGTAGGTATATAAAATTTAGACCCTTTAAGTTTAAAAAATTATATTTAGACAAAAAATATTTCAATCAATGATAGAATATCAAATATTTTAAATTTTACAATCAAAATTCATGTTCTATTGTATTATTTATTGAAATAAAATTAAAATTAAAAATTTATTTTTTTCTTAAAAATTATAATTAGTATATAATTATACTATCTTTTAGAATAAAACTAAATAATCAAATAAGGAATCTATATCATTCATAATAAAACATGAATTTTATAACCAAATTCATATTCTATTATGTCATTTATTGAAATAAAATTAAAAATAAAAATCTAGGTTTTTAAAAAAAAATTATAGTTAGTATATAATTATACTATTTATTATAATAAAACTAAAAAAAAATAAATAAGGGGTCAAACTGTAATGGACATAGTATATTGTATCTTTAGTTGGGATAGTTTGTTATTTTAATTTGGTCGTTTAAACAACCAAATTAAATTCCAATAGATAATTTATATACTAATTACGATTTTTTATGAAAAAATTGAATTTTTATTTTTGATTTTATTTCAATAAATGATACAATAAAATATGAATTTTAATTGTAAAATTTAAAATATTTGAAATTTTATGTTTGATTGAAGTATTTTTAGTCTAAATATAATATTTTAAACTTAAAGGGTCTAAATATTATATACCTACAAACTTCAAAGGGGTTTTTAGTATAATTTATTAACAAATATATTTACATCAGGGGTCTAAGCGTTACGCGCGTATAAACGTCAAGAGGTCTGTGTATAATATTTTAAATATCAGGGGATTTGAGTGATTAAGTGACAAACTTCGGACAGTCTATGTGTAATTCTCCCACAATTTAATGGTAGAAAAAATTTAATTTGTTGTGATTATCGGACTAGCAGTTGGCCTTTAAAATGGATAAAGTTCACTCGCAACCGAATGATTACAATGGGTTAGATCCTCAAATTAAATGAGAGCAGTGTTAATTTGAATCTAATTTATTGATCTTATTTACTATAACTCTTGAATTGCCTATGAATCCCATTAAACATTGAAACTTAATATTAATTCAATGGTTATAATGAAACTATATTATTTTATTTGTTTTTAGTTCAACGATCAGAGTTATTTGTGTCAGTTTATGTGTACCTCAATTAATCTTTTTATTGGTTCAATCAAAGACAGAGGTCATTCATGTTCGGACTAAAACATTTACGAAGAATAAATCTCTCGTGACCTGAACACATTATTAAATCAAAATTTTCCTGTCTTTGTGTTTTGGGTTAGGAGAGAGAGAAAGCCAAGAGGGACAGAGACAGACAAAGAGACAGAAAGTTCAACAAAACACAAAGTTACAACTTACAACCATATTTTTCCAGCACAACTTGACTGGCTCATCACTACAAAATATCAAATACAAACCTAAAAACAACCACACTACTTAAAATAAGTTGACAGTTCTTGTGTTTTATTTGTTCACAAATGTCTGAGAGAATCAGACAACCTCGAACACAAATCTACACCAGAGACATAATACTAAAGCAATCACACCACTCCTACAATAAGAAAAGCTTAAGAATATAAGAGCCCATCTGAGCATGGGTTCATATTAAGATAGAATAAATTACATTTTGACCCCCCTCTCATCTCAATTTATTCACTTAACTCTTTGAGTTTGTCACATTACCCCTTCAACTACTTGAATTGATTTCATACTAGCCCAAAAATTTTGTCCACGGGTATAGTAAGATACACGTTTCAAATATGAGAGTTGAAACCCACAATGAGAGTTGAAGATATAATGTGAGGAACCCGATAGTTGAGAGGTAAGGGAATACAGGTTCAAATATCAAATATGCCCGAGTTATCAGAGTTACTTGAATGACTCAGTGAAGTACATGATCTCTTATTTGGGGGAAGTGGCATTTGTTCATCTAAAGCTCCAAGTGAAAGCACTCTTCTTATGGTTTCAAGAGCATCTGTCATGGGACAACCTTTGTCTGTGTGAAAGTAAGAATAATCTCCATGCATTGAGTATTCTGACGTCCCTCCTTGGAATTCGAAAGGCCCGAATTCATTGACAATTTCACTATCCTGGACAGTAACAGTACTAAACCCGTTTTCGAATTTGAAATAGTTGATTTTCTCCAGTGTATGTTCTTGTCCAATTAAATCAAGATCATAGGAAGGTGATGAGGTTACAATGCACTTCTTTGGGTTCTCTTGTCTTTGTGCCGCAGTGTTGCTCTTTTGGCGAATTCGACATAAAACCCAATCATCTAACTGCAACAACATGAAAGTTCATATTTAATTAGCATTATCTACAATTAAAAAAAAATCCATTTAAAGCTAAAAAGAATATTACCCACATGAATTGATAAAAATATCTTTTTTACTGTTCATTCAGGTGAAAACTATCGTAAACAACTTAAGAGCTCGCTCAAGTGGTAATATGAACGAGCTGTAAACTCAAACGTCCTGAATTGAAATATTTGCAATCCCTTGAGGTCGGGCAGGTCATGAGGGATCTATCTCTCATGTATATCCTAATTTCAGCGTGGATGACTTGTCTTAAACCTAATTAATAAGAGAATTAGTCAAAATATACGTAAGTTGATCCGAACACCTATAACCGTTGAACAAAAAAAAAATTTTTATCTCGAACTACACTGTATATTCAGATTTTGGGTCAACAAAGTCATTTCTTCGCATTAAAAAGAATCATTTGGGTGAACTCAATTATCAGGTGCTATCAATCCAAGACTTTTTGTGATCTTTTGCATCAAAGTGTTTCTCTCTTTTGAGCATGCTTATGATGTTCATCATTTTGACGAGAAAATATTAGATTTAACGCCGACATTAAGTCATTAATGTCACATGAGATCACTGATTAGTGATGGAATATCACCAATTAGTGATGGAATATCAAGTAAACTTAGTAGGATCCGTTGTTTTAATAACTTCTAATAATTATCTTATCTAATAATTGTCATATTAAAATAGTGAAATTGATGACGTGGTTTCACCATTATACCCAATATTTACTCCACCTTCACATGTGTTGAACCATGCACCTTCATGTTTAAGTTATTAGAACGAGTGTAACTCAAGTATCAAGTTCTCGTTTCGGCCTAGCACACAAAAATCAAAAATATTTAAACATTATTTTTCCCCCTCTTTCATACTATGAACTTAGTAAACTTACCCTCATTGATCCTCTGAGCCTTAGAGAACGAGGGTTATCATTGAGAAGCCTATATTCATACATCATCCAGTTGGTTTTTGTGCCTTTTGGAGGGCGACCTTTGTAAAAAACAAGAGCCTTCTTCACCCCAATACACTGTGATGCATTCGACGAAAGGATCGGCTTATCGGTCCCTGTCGCCTTCCAATAACCTGATGCAGCCGCTCTGTTCGGACGAGCACCATTCGGATACTTCCTGTCTCTTGGACTAAAGAAAAACCATTCATTCTCACCAAAGAATGCCCTATCTGCACAGATAGAGAGAAGCCAATAAGCTAAGCAAGCAATAATTGTTTTTATATGAGAAAATTTTTTAATAACAAGACAGACACGCTTTAGAGAGAAGGTCACCAGTTGAATCTGGTATGACTTTAAAGGTATACTAGAAGCCAAGTAACAAGAGTCCTGGGCACTCGAGAAAACGAGAATTTCTCAAGTCAAGACTCTTGGTAATTACGCGCAATATAACATGAAAGAACGTAAAGAAAAACTAAAACTTTAGTTGAAAGGTGGTCAGTTAGACCCAATATGATTTTGGATGAATTTCTTTTCTTTTTTAGTTCAACGGTTAAGTGTGTTCAAGTCAGTTTTCTCATACATTGATTAATTTTTTTTTGATTTGATCAAATGTATGTCATCTACGCTGAGATTAAAGTATTCACGAAGGATAAATCCTTCATGACCTAATCCTAAGAAATTACTAAAATTTAAACTTAAAATATCTTAGTTTACAATTTATCTCTGTTATCACATGAATTACCTCTTGTAACATGTTTGGATGGAATTTGAGCGAAGGATTGAACTAGTTTTGACAAAACTCTTATACAGGGATTTGATGAAGCCCAACACCCCCCCCCCCCCCCCCCTTGGGGTTTGAAACATTTTTTCTAACTTTCCTCTATAGACCTGTCCAAACCCTTGTAACAAACCGGCCCTCGGGTTCGGAAGTACATTAACCAAGTAGCAACTAGCAAAAATCTCGAAAAAAGGCGAGAAGGCGAGAATTTCTTAGGTCGAATGATAACGAAGCGCAGTATAACACGTAATTTAGACTACCACTGCCTCTAGCAACAGAGAGAAAAACAGAAATTCAACCATCAATCACTAAAAAAGAAATGAATAAAAAAGGTATAAACACCAGGAAGTTCCCATGGATTGAACTTGTAGAGGTTGATTTCAGCAATTATAGAAGCTATCTGATTCGAAGAAGACGAGACCTTCTTCTTCAGATAATGGACGATGAGCTCCTCGTCGGTAGGGTGAAACCTAAAACCTGGTGGCAGAGACATAATGATGTCTTCCATTAGGACATTGAAGAAAAGATATATATTTTGATGTTCTTCGTATACAGAAAGGAAGAACACATTTATATATAGGAGATGTATAAGTATTATATGGGATGTTGGTCATATCACCCTTCATTGTATAATATTCATTATGTCGTCATTGTTGTCTTATATTGTATAGTTCACCAGGGTTTTTTTGGGAAAGAATTACACTTACATCTCTTAAAGTTTATCATTTAATTACTTTCTGATATTTGAAATATTATAAATAGACTTCCTGAAATTTGTATATAAATAACGCTTAGACCCTACCGTCAATGTCCGTTAGTGTTACGCATGTAAAAATCTTAGGGGGTTTGTGTGTAATATTTTAAATGTCAGTGGGTCTAAGTGATTAAGTGACAAATTTCAAAGGATTTGAATGTAATTCTCCCTTCTTTTTTTTTTTTTTTTTTGATTTAATCTTCAGTATGTTTGAATCAGCTTAGGCGCACCTCGACTATCTCCTTCTTGATCCAATCAAAGATAGGTCTGGATCAGTTTAAGCGCATCTTTACTATCTCTTTTTTTATCCAACCAAAGATAGGTCACCTACGTCGGAATTAAGATAAATCCCTCACAATCTCCTCCTAAAAAATTATCAACATTCAAATTCAACAAATCTAATTTATAACTCGTTAGTACCATTAAAGTTACCCTTGAGATTTTTCACTCCTATTTCTTGGTTTATGTATGGTGCTTTGTGTTGTGTATATAATGTGAGAAATTAATTTATATGGTTTATTTTTCACATGAACTTACAAATTACTAAATTTTTATTAGTAAAAAAAAAGATTTCATTTGATTTCAAATTTTTATGCGCAATAGTGTTCAAGTCATATTCCCCAAAACTTCTCAAGAATTGTACTTATAAGAGAGATACACGGGAAAACCAGCCAGCTACCAAATTTAGATTTGGGTTTGATGGTCGGTCGTTATGTTAATTTAGTTAGCTCTAGTCCCAAAAGGTGTTTTAGACGTGATCAGGGGCCTTATAATCCCACTGGTGAAGCTCTATCGGGTTGATCGCTAAGCCTTCTTCCTTGTCCCACCCCTTTTTTAATATCAAAAAAAAAAAAAACTAACAAATCTAGGCCATAATAGACATGTTTAGAGCTAAATTTTTTAGGTGAAAAATTGTGATATGAAAAGTTTTGCGAAAAAAATTAAATTTAAGAAAGTCCCCCAAAATCGTTTGAGATATTCTTTAAAAAGTTGAAAAAATTATAAAAATCTGTTATGAGTGACTTTTTAGTTTTTTTGGGTCAAAATAAAAAATTAATTGCATGTATGTATAAATTATGAATAATAGTTCCCAAAAAATGAATTTCAAATTTTTTAACATCACTAAATAATGTTTTATGAATATAATAAATCAAAAAGTTACGTGAGACTTACAACAAAACTCTAAAAAGTTAGAAGGAAAGCTCATAAAATTAACTTCTTAAATCAGTCTAAATAAGTTTTTTGGGTTTAAAAATTTTTTATATTAGTTGGTAAAAAAGTTAAAATTTAAACGAATCTTGCTTATTTTACTCCAACAAAAACTTTTACTATATTTCCAAAAGATAATTTATGATATTAAACATGACAAGAGGTATAGGAGGGGTTGCGTGAGGATTTCCTGGAAATCTACCCAGCAATATCATAGTAACTATGAGCTGAATGGGTTTGTTGATTAGTCAAGTCAATCACTTATTATTGTCTAACGATCTTCTTTATAATTAACTTTTACAGTCTGAGAGTGACTCAATAAAGAACTTGAAGAATAAACCCTTTTGCTACTTGATTCTCTCTTCATCCAATCCTAGGCTGTTCTCAATAACCACGATAAAGAGTCGCGTGAGACTCATAGTTTATACAAAATAATAAACAGTTTCAAAACCTTTTTATTAGATTCACTTGGCGGAATCATATCAATATCACCCTATGCTTTTAACCCTGCTATATATATTCTCGAATAATAGGGTTTATGATACAGGGTAGCGTGGATAAAAAAATAAGATTAAACAAAAAAAGTTAATATCGTAATTAATAATACCATATTAATGTTTTCAAAAGTTTTGATAATTTACGAAGAATACCAAGTCAATTGAAAAGAAAAGAGAATTCGTCTCTAAGTTAAATTAGTTTTTCAAGGTGATATAAATATGAAACCCTAATGACCCTAAATTACTAGAAAAAACTAAGCAAATAAGCAATATTACGAAAATATCCTAAAAAGTGCCTTAAACGTCGTTTTTTAGCTTAAAAGCGACGTGTTAAAGAATACACTTTAACCTTGCTTAAATCGTCGAAAACTTTCCGGAATAGTCTTCTGAAATTTTCTGATACTGTCGTCCAATTAGCGTTGTTTTCGACAGTCTTGATCTACCATATAATCTTCTACTATACGTGTTCCATCAGTTTATAACAAAAAAAAATAGATATTACAACCTAGTCGCTCACCAAATAATTAAAAAATCATCTTAAACAAAACTCCGTGAAAGTCACCCTGCCAATTACGTGGTAGTGGATTCAGCAATCGGAATCAATGCAATGGTGCCTAGAAATATCCCAACATTATATTCCTGTCAAATATTCATGGGACCCAAGCCATAGATCATGTTTGTTTTTCCTTTCTAAATTTGGTTAATATTCTTAAATTCTGCTGCCCAGATCGAATCAAATGGAGTTGATGAACGCCGAAAACGACTCCATGCATGGCTGGATTATCTTGAAAAAAAAATTAATCTTTTTTTGCAAACGTTACGACGAGGTTGATGGCCTTTTTTTATTCTATGGATATGTTTTTTTATTTAGCAGTAATCTCTTATTAAAATCGTCAAAAATATTTCATGTCACCCTCCATGCATTTCTTAATTTTGTCAAACAAAACAAAAATGTCGTTCACACACACACACATGTGTGTGTGTTAGAGAGAGAGAGAGAGAGAGAGAGAATGGCAAATTCAAACAAACTTTTCATTGTGATTGAGTTTTTACCGTTCCTTACGAGGCAAATCATATCTGTATCCATGCATGCATTGAAGCAGATCACGTAAGAGAATAACCTAATCTCATTAACTATTGGGTTATGATGATTTTTTTTTTCTTGAATGAAAAGGAGTGGGATAAAAGAGAGTCCCCAGAGATCACCTTGATAGGCTCACACTGGTGGAATCATAAGGCTCTAATCGCGCTCGTTACTCCTCTCATAACAAACCTAACTAGATTAGTATAGTGGTAAATCACCGAACCTCAATGTAAACTCTAAAACTCGAACCTCCACTCCATAATGAAAAGTTCAACCAGTACCCTAGTAGCTCACCCCACTCCAACCTTAGCGTTATGATGTCTAAAGGTCACCGTAACCCGCCAAGGATTAGTTCAATGGATGAATTAGAACTGAGTTGAGGTCATACGACCGCATAAAATTTGAGTTTAACTCTCTGTGTCTTCATCCGGGATTTCACGTTAATTACAGTACTAATCTATAAAATGCATGGTTAAAATGAAATATGAATCTGCCTAATACAAAAGACACATTCACAATGACTTTGGAATTGGCAAAACAAAATCCAATAGAATCAGAATTAAATAGTGTGTATAATATCCAGCTGAAGATACTCATATCACAACTATGCTGTTTTTGTCTTATGATAATGTCTTTAGTGAATAAGAGCCCGCTATGGTGTAAAAGCATATATAGTTGTTTAGTATGATGACTTCCAGGAATGTAACCATGGGAACCGACACTTGCAAGAGTACGCAAGACCCTGGACCATTTTTTGTACGTGTCAACTCTGCGTAGAGACCGTGCTAATCTTCCTTGTATCGCTCTATTTTTTGTTTGGCTATTTCAGATCATACAGGAGACTCTTGACTGCCAAGAGGAAAATGTCATGAAAAATGAACTAAATTACAAAGGGAATGCACCAGAAAGCTTGCTCCCACAGAATTCCTCTGAAAAGCAATTTCCAAGTTTTTTCCTAGCTGTTTCATTCTTCAACAATTTCTTTTTGTTTTCCTCCATTATTTTATTGTGGAGGTTCATGTAGTTTCTATAATGGTGGGACAATTGAGATTATATATACTTAGAAATTTACATTTCCATCCCTTGTGGTTTCAGATATTACAAAAAAAAACTCACTTGATGTTTCATATATTATTCAGCCAAATTCTCTTTTACATATAAAGAATCACCCACAAAGACTAAAGAGAGGAGGGGGCAAACACAGGAATCGTTCCAACCTCTTTCAATCAGTCGATAACAAAGGATCAAAAGAGGTCTTACTAATCAATTGGTTGAGAACAGACTCCCACTATACAACCAAGAATCTTTCCCTTTTCCTTCGTTCTCCTCTTCCAGAAGGGGTCACGTTATCATGCACATGTGATATGGCACGAATAAAAAAGTTATATGATAATGTTAAATATACCTATAAAAGGTACTCCATATATGTGACATCTTATTAATACACAAGGATACCACATTTCTGTGATGACATAGTACACTTGTCTTGAATATGAGTCATAGAAGAGGGTGTTACTTGGGAAGAGGGATAGGGTGGGTTTTGAGGTAATGTGCAGAACTATGATTTTCAAAACTACATCGAAACATAGCTCTTGTACTTAGAGATTAGGGACTTTGGCATCCATTAGGGGCTTAGGGATTAGAGATTTGCCATTAGGTTCGATTTTATTTCAACACCATTTTAACTTTTTTTTTCCTGCAATAAAAGAAATTAATGAAAAAGTACCTCTGTACATTACATGATAATCCATATTTGACCTAAGTAGCTCAAATGAGCAAATAAAGACTAGCCAAATTTGATAAAGGCATTCGAAAGAAACATACAATGACTGAGTGTGACAAACATTCATATCCACAAGTTATATATCTAAGCTTGTTAAGCAAATACATTAAAATACACATAAGAGTCCTTTCAAATTATATATGGTTTTAGTCATTCAATCTTCACATCCGGTTTGATCTTTACTGAGTTTTCAAACATTTACATGTTTGATATACCCGTATTAAATTTTATAAAGATTGTTGTAACATGTAATCAGTATGTGTCTTTTATTAAAGATCATGTAGTTCTATTTTTTTTTT